ATGAGGAAAGGCCCTGTCCCAAGCCTCTCTGCTTAGCTTATGAATGCCCTTCTCCCTGTCTTTATACCTTCCTCCCTTTGTGTCCGTGGCCAAATTTCCTCTTCTTTCTTATAGGGACACTAGTTCCTATGAGTTAGGGCATACTCTACAGACCTCACTTTTAACTTCATTATCTCTTTAAAGACCTTATCTCTAAATATGGTGATACCTGGGGGTACTGGGGGTTAGGACTTCAACCTAAGAATTTAGAGGTGGGGTAGATGTGATTCAGGCCATAAGAGTCCTGACTCTCTTGAGGTAGCAGTATGCCGTGGACCAATCTCTACACGAGTTTGGGGGCGCAGCTTCCTCTGAGGTGCTTGAATTGGGTCATCTCTAAAACCCTTTCTGCTCTAAAATGGTAAATAAAGTGAAATACCAAATTTCAGGTTATATGACTAAGATCTTAGGAATTAGCTAGAGACTGCTGGTGTCAACACTTTTAAAAAAAATATATATTTTATTGATTTCAGAGAGGAAGTGAGAGGGAAAGAGATAGACACATCAACGATGAGAAAGAACCACTGATCGGCTGCCTCCTGCATGCCCCCCATTGGAGGTCGAGCCCACAACCCAGACATGTGCCCCCTCCCGGAATCAAACCTGGGACCCCTCAGCCCACAGGCCTACGCTTTATCCACTGAGCCAAACCACCCAGGGCAACACTTTAAAAAAAATCTCACTTTATCTTTCTCCCACCCTCACAAGTAACCCATTGCCTTCTGTTACCTCTTAGCTGAATTTTGAAAGAGAGTTTGCATGGTAGGTAGAGGGGGACTCTTTTCCCTGGAAGCCCATCATCCACCTACTCTCACCATTCTGTTAGAAGTTCCCCACAAGGAGTTAAAATGTCCACTTTCAATTTGAGATATCTAACTTTTAAGTCACTTTATTAACATGCATTTTTAAATGACTAATAATTTTATTTTATTATACTGGATACTAACACTCGATTAAGGAAATATATCCAATTAAAGGTGAATGGTTATGATGTTGGATTTAGTAAAATTATAGGACTACTATTGAAACCTAGCACAGCAAAAGATAGGAAATTTATATGAAGGATTAAGTGCTAATAATTAAGTGCAAATAATTTAGAATATTTTCCGCCTCCCAAATACTAGGCTGCTGTTATAGATTCACTACTGTTATTATTCAGATTGTCTAATCTTATTGAAAAAGAATAGCACAAATGATAAATCAAATATCTTTAGGTTTAACGCCATCCTGCTACCTCTACAGTTGTCCCTTTTTATTTTATTTTTTATTATACAACTAACACTTGTCCCGTATAGAAAAACATGTGTTAAAGCAAACACACACACACCCACAACCACAACAACTCACTCATAGTCTTGCCAACTAGAAATAAACACTCAACATTTTGTTGTGTTAAAATAATTTTCTGCTGAAACATTTCTTTATTATTGAAATGTTCCCTCTGTTCCCCCTTCTTTCTATTTTCTTAACCCCTGACCTCCCAGCACTGCACCCTCTGGATGACCACTATATTCCTTGGTGAACACAGCATTTTCCTGCAGTCTCTGAGCACAATGATTGTCTTGAATAAACTCCCTTCTGGGCTTTGGTTAGAAGTAGACCGCTTACATGTAAACTCTTTGAGAGTAGAATCTTTATCTGTTTACTCCAAGGTATCTGTCTGGCATGTAGTAGATATTCAACAAAGTATTTGCTTAATCATTGATTAATGGAGTAGCTAATATTATTATTCCCAGAAGAATATACAATTGAGTTTTCTCTGATTTTTAATCTTTGTTATGACAGAGATTTAAAGTTATTTCGATTCCTCTTTTCCCCCCATTTGTTCATTACTTGCTTTAGTTTACTCACATTTCAGAGTTTGATTTAACTTATTTTTACACCTTTTTAAGAGATTTTTCTGATTAAAAAATTTTTGAGCACTCAGCTCATTTACTTCTTTGTGGGTTTCCTGCCTTGTCACAGTCAAGATGCCTCAGCTTCTGCCTGGAAAGTTTGGGTTACATCTTTGCATACTGCAATCTTGAGCTAATGCAAAAACTTTTAAAAAATACAAGCTATATGGAGCCCTGCTTACATCTCATCATGCAGCAGTCACAAACCCAGCTTTCTTTTTCATTCTTGACATAATTTTTTGATGCTGAACTAAATAAGGAATGTTTCCAGAAATTAAACTCTGTGAAGCAGGTGTGAACAAATATGAGTGAGGTTGGTATCTGTGCTTCATGGCCAGGATATTTGTGTCTCTTCAGTGCTCTACTTCAGGTTGCACATTGCTCCAATTCTGAATGTACTTTGCACAGTAGATTTTGATTTCCAATCAAGAACTTGAAAGCTAAAACAAAATGAATTAAGTAGTTTCTTCTAGACAGCTCCAGAAAGCTGAGTATATGCAGTTTTCCAGAAATAGCACTAATGCAATACTCCATAGATATAAAATGTGCTGTGTCCCTGAGCATTTGATCATTTAAACCAAGGATTGTGGGCCTGGTCATAAGATAGTCTCATGAATATTAGGTAAAATTAGCATACCAAGAGAGATAGGGTCCTCTAGCCATTGGCCACACACACACACAATTGGGTATCAACTCTGGATGCTTTCATGTGCTGGCAATATCTGCAATGTTAAATGGTTAGTATATTTAATTCCAGGCTATCACATAGAACAACGAGGTAATAATGGAATAAGGATCGTAAAAATTTGAATGATTTCTTGTGAAAGCCCTTTCCATTAAACATTTTGGTATGCTTTCAATTGCATTATTATTTTCTAGAGTGCCCAATTCAATTGCTATTTATTAGCTGTAAATTCTCTGATCTAGAAGAAGGACTGATATTAACAGGAAGGCAGGATGACCTGTAGAGAAAGTAAGAAGTAGGGAACTGTCCTGAAAAGATAAATTGATGCTAATACATTTTTTTATTCAAAGCTGTATGAAAAGATCATAGATTCAAATGTGTTTTAAAAAGTAAGAGTCATGCATATATTAAGGGTACAACATCCCCAAGTTTTCAATCTATTACGTATCACATGCTCATGTGTAAATCTGCTTCTGGAAACTAAACATTCACTTTTTATTACAATCAATGTTTTTAGTCTCAGAACCTGACTCAAGAAATGTCGGTTGGATTGAAGACTCAGTAGCTTGATAGTAAAGACAGCATATTCAGATATAATTCCTCTGATCTGTGTCTTAGTTGTTCTCTAGATAGAGTTGTTTTCATATAGAAAGTAAGCTGTATTCTCTGGTAAGTTCACCTCTTGGGTGGAAGGGAACAACATGTAATAGGCGTTAGGAGACTTAGACAAGTCCTAGCTCTTTATCTTTTGCTAACGAGTGACCTTGAACAAGTCAGATATTTTCTTGCTATTTTGGTATTATTTTCCCTCCTGGAAGACTAGATATAAGTAATGCATTTTTAAATACATTCATCTGAGGAGGAAAAGTGGACAGCCATATCTTCCTTCTTCCTTCTTTGGAGGTCCCATGGTATCCTGTGACCTGAAGGGGATACAGGCGTGGTGACCACAGGGGGAAGGGCTGAAAGGGAAGAGATAGGGGTTCCTGTGGCAGTGATTTATCTGTGTAGCACATTTAGTTCTCGTGACTCAGAAGATGTCAGTATTATCGCTATATCATAAAATACAAAAAATATAGATGCCATGAAAACTATGAAAAATGACCATGAGAAAAAATCCCCAGAACTAATAGTTTAAATTTTTTGATGCTTGGCAATAGAATGTACATTTTACACAAAAGATGAGCGATTATTTGAATTCATGTTTAGAGAAATAAAAATAAATAAATAGTAGGAAACCTGGGGGAAAAACATTACCATCAAGTGTTTCCAAACATTTTTTTAATCCTCACCTGAGAATATGTTTCTTGATTTTAGAGAGAGAGGGAGTGAGGGGAGGAGAAGAGGGAGAAACATATGTGCCCTGACTGGGGATTGAACCCACAACCTTTTTGTTGTGCAGGATGATGTTTCAACCAGCTGAGCCACCTGGCCAGGGCCCAAACATTTTTCTAGGAACTCTAGTCTATAACAAATAAATTTGATACAACATCACTGGATGAACTTTTATCTCCAGAAGACAGGAGCCAAAAATAGATTAAAGATTGGTTCTCTATTAAGTGAAGTTCCTTTTTTTCTGAACAAAGGTGAAGAAAATTCTGTTAGATTTATTGTATGATTTGATAACCAGAAGGATTCATCAAAACTGTTGATTCTATGACAATGTATAAAAGGGGAAGAAATAGAACATGCTATAAGCTACATGCCAGGCTTGGAAGAAAGTATCACTTTTTACCTTCACAATAACCCTTAACCCTTCAAGACAGGAAGTACAGATCAAGAAATTGAGGACCGGTGAGGTTATAAAACTTGCCTAAAGTCACATTGGTGGCAGAACTGGGATTCAAACAGCAGTCATTTTGAAATGTCATGGTTTTTCCTACTTCACTATGCTGCCCCTCAGTGGAACTTTATAATAATGGTAACAATAATAATTGACAATAATACTGCTTATTGACTTTTTATTTATTATGAGCCAAGAATTGTGCAAAGACCTTTAAGTGCATTATTTTATTCAATTAACAAACCCATGAAGAAGAGATTATTTGCACTTTGTAAATAAAAAACACAAAGACTCAGAGAACTTAAGTGACTTCACTTAAAGTCACCAGGCTAGTAAGTGGGAGCCAGTGTTTACTTTTGAGCCCAGAGCCCATTCACGATGCTGTTTCTAGGGCAGATTGGAGAACTGACATCTGAACTGTCCTTTAATGGACCTGCTCCTTTTTTGGAGATGGGTCAACACAACAGGAGGATGGAGGCCCACACTGATTTTGCCTGTGTACGGCGGCAAATACAGCCATTTGGGGCAGTGTATCCTTGCTTACCAAGTTCTTTAGATCAGAAGCCAGTAAAATTCTCTTCATGCTTTTCTTTTGCAGATACTTGCCCTTTGCACTGAATCATCGACTAAAGCTGATAATGCCCAAGTGACTAATACCTACCCTGAGCTGTTGAAATTGAGTAAGAACATTACCAAAAGAGAGTCTGGGTGCCCGGAAGGCCAACAGCGTGAGGGCAGTTTCTGCTGTCGGCCATGTCTTCCTGGTATGTCACACACACATGCAGCAATTAGAGTGAGAATCAAGGTGATGAATAGCATATCGTAATGATGAAGAAAATGTTTTTACAGCACTTGGTTCTGTATAATTGCATTACTAAGAACAAAAACCAACTAGGAAATTATTTTACCAAGACATGTTTAGCCCTAGCAGGTTTGGCTCAGTGGATAGAGCGTCGGCCTGCGAACCAAAGGGTCCTGGGTTCAATTCTGGTCAAGGGCATGTACCTTGGTTTCAGGCTCCTCCCTGGCCCAGACCTGGGCTCTTGTGCAGGAGGCAACCAATCAATTGTTTCTCTCACATTGATATTTCTCTCTGTCTTTCCCTCTCTCTTCCACTGTCTCTAAAAATCAATGGAAAAATATCCTTGGGTGAGGATTAAAAGGAAAAAAAAGAGACACGTTTAATTCATCTTTATCACACTTGTTGGATGTGGGTATAAATAAGTATAATTTATAAATGCTATGTACCTCTGAAATGAGAGGATTTATCTATTTAGCTGCATTTTTCACTAGCAAAAGAAGACTCATTTGTAGGTATTAAAGCTCATCATTTCAGAACGGATTAGGATATTTCATAATAATTGTGGCAATCTGAAAGCAAGTATTTCAGTCCTTCTGCACAACTAGAGACACTGAAGCCTGCAAACAGCATTTGCATTTTGCAGCCTAATAACTAGCCAAGCTAGAAAAGCAACAGACAAAAACCAACGGTTTTTAAACATCAGTATTTTGAAATACAAACTAGTTTCAGATCGGAAATCCTTCAAACACCAGCAAATTGGAAGCTAAGCAGAATGCAATTGTGCAAGCTGTTTTTCAACATGGAGTAAACTGACGACTATTTCATACAGATATGAATCTCTTCTTGCTGCTTTGTGAAGTAAGACAGGAAGATAAAGGAAAACCACATGGATTTATGTGACAGATTAGCAGAATCATAAAGGATTATGTAGGGTTTCATGGTTGGCCTCCCAGAATCCCAGCACTCAAGCTGTTTATAAGAAGACTACAGGCCCGGTGCACAAAATTCGTGAACTGGGAAAGGGTGTCCCTCAGCCCAGCCTGCATCCTCTCCAATCTGGAACCCCTCGGATGATGTCTGACTGCTGGTTTAGGCCCGATCCCACAATCTGGGACTGCTGGCTCCCAACCACTCACCTGCCTGCCTGCCTGATTGCCCCTAACTGCTTTTGCCTGCCAGCCTGATTGACACCTAACTGCTCCCCTGCCAGCCTGATTGACACCTAACTGCTCCCCTGCCAGCCTGGTTGCCCCCAACTGCCCTCCCCTGCCGGCGCAGTCACCCCTAACTGCCCTCCCCTGCTGGCCCAGTCGCCCCTAACTGCCCTCCCCTGCTGGCCTGGTCGCTCCTAATTGCCCTCCCCTGCCAGCCCAGTCCCCCCAACTTCCCTCCCCTGCCAGCCTGGTCACACCTAACTGCCCTCCCCTGCCGACCTGGTCTCCCCTAACTGCCCTCCCCAGCAGGCCTGGTCCCCCCCAACTGCCCTCCCCACTGGCCTGATTGCAACAACTTCCCTCCCTTGCCAGCCATCTTATGGCTGTGGGCACTGCCATCTTTGAGGGCATGGCAGTCAATTAGCATATTCCCCCCTTATTGGCTGTGGGTGCCGCCATCTTTGTGATGACATGAGGGTCAATTAGCATATTCTCTCTTTATTATATAGGATTCTCTAAGTCTTCCCTGGCCTTCTCTCCAGGCATTAATAACGCTATAGAAGATCTCCCTTATAACCCAACCCTCTACACTTAAGGCCTTTTACTCTTCTCCAAATGGGAAAAAAAGAATGTGTCTTGACCTTTGATAATTTGCTAAACACATCAACTTGTCCTGTGGATTTAAATCTTACATTTCTTTTTCTTTTTTATTTTATTTTATTATTGATTAAGGTATTACATATGTGTTCTTATCCCCTCATTGCCCCCCCAACCCCCCGATCATGTCCTCATCCTCACCCTCTGTTGTCTGCATCCATTGGTTAGGCTTATATGCATGCATACAAGTCCTTTGGCTGATCTCTTACCCTAACCCCCACCCTCCCCTACCTTCCCCCTGAGGTTTGAGCACCTAATTGATGCTTCTCTATCTCTGAATCTGATTTTGTTCATCAGTTTATGTTGTTCATTATAATCCACAAATGAGTGAGATCATATGATATTTATCTTTCTCTGACTGACTTACTTCACTTAGCATAATGCTCTCCAGCTCCATCCATGTTGTTCCTTCCTTTTTATAGTAGCATAGTATTCCATTGTGTAGATGTACCACAGTTTTTTAATCCACTCATCTGCTGATGGGCACTTAGGCTGTTTCCAAATCTTAGCTATGGTGAATTGTGCTGCTATGAACATAGGGGTGCATATATAAATATTTCATATTTTTAAAATGCAAATAAAAACAAAGGTAATATGTTTTGAATGTCAAATTGTCAAGGATTTGGTCTTCTTGCTTTTGTTTGGTCTTGCTTTGTTTCACATTCATTTAAGGGGTGATTTCAGCCCTGGTTAGTTTGCTTATGAGCTAAGAATGCTTATATACCATCATTTCTTTTTAATTGGAGTATGTGGGTCAAAAACTTAAAGACCTTTTTGCCTACTGATACAGAAATCAATTTATAGGAAAATGTTTTAAGAAATGGTCAAAATAAAGGGAAATTCCATATGTGTGACATTTCATTATGCTAATCAATGATGTGGAATTAAGTAAATTTTGGAGTAGTCAAAAGCTAGAATGTTATGGTCAATCAAAGTCTTGGTTTCTGATATATTTCTAATATATTCCTCAATGTACACAAATTCCCTTAAGGGATTTCTTTTTTCTTCTTTTTAAATTTTTTATTGTTGAAAGTGTTTCCTTCGGGGATTTCTAACTAATCTGCTGGCTGAATGAACTGGTTCTCCCTGCTCCATCTCTAAAATGTCCTGGGTGGCGTCCAACACACGCTGAACACTCCACCCACTTCTAGTCCCTCCTGTTGAATTTTAGGCTTTATTAGTATTCAAATTGCTCCCAAATCTGTGATGTAAATATGATTTTATTAAATATTATATAATCAATGGTATATGAATATAAAGAGAAGACAGATTTTAGTTCTGTGAAAACTACTTTGAATGCTTTGGAGAACTTCAGTAAAGGTGAGCTGCTAAACTGAGTTGATGACTTAGGTGAGGGCAAAATCAATGGAAAAATTATAAAATTATAAAAATCTAGAAAGCTTCTCATGCAGATTATTCTTGTCTTTAAATTTTCTCAGGTTTGATGCTGGTCAAGGGCCTTCTGGTTGCAGGTTTGATCCCTGGCCCTGGTTGGGGCACATGCAGGAGGCAACCAATCAGTGTGTCTCTCTCATATCACTGTTTCTTGCTCTCTCTGTCTCTCCCTCTCCCTTCCACGCTCTAAAAAAAAAAAAAAAAAAAAATGTCAATGGCAAAAAGGATTTGGGAGGATTCAGGTGAAGATTAACAAAAACAAAAATTATTTTTTTAGTGATTTTCTATCATAAAAGTCCTTGCCACATACCATATCCAATAAGAATTTTACAGTGTACTATATCATATACAGATATGCACATACATATTACATATACATATACACACATATATATATGTATACATTGGTATTATAAGAATGCACCAAAATGATAAAATGACTATCTCAGGCTAATTAATATATTGGTGCTATTTGTACTTTCCTGCCTTTTCCAAACTTTCTACAGTGAGCATATGTACAATTATACTCAGAAGAAAAATGTATTATTTTCAAGAAAACAGCTACTCATTTTTATATTTTGATAAATTTAGGTTGTGTACGTTGGAGGAAAGAAAGAAACCTGTGATTTTTTCTCTCCCTGACATGTTGTAGGCATTGTGCTAGGCACATTCTGCAGGGTTGTTCATCAAAGAGGACAATTCATTTAGAAACTAGGATAATGCCACTGGCAAGCAAATAACATGTACTTTGGCTTGGTTTTCTTTCAAGTATTGCCACAGCATTATAGAGCCCCAGTGTACCATATTTGGATTCAATTCCAGGTTTCCAGGTTTTTTTCTATTGACGGAATAGTGTCCTTGTTTACGAAAATGTCATATGTTTACATTAATTTGTTTATGTAGTAGGCATTTTGCTTTGTCAAAAGAATGATACGAGGTTGTTGAGAAAGTCATATGCCTGGGAATGACACCATCAATTATGTTTGCTATACATGTGTGTAGGGCAGATTAGACTTTTCTTGTTCTTCTTAATTATTTATACCATCAGTAATTGGAGTCACTAGTCATGCTTCCTCGTACATCCCCCTTTATATTTTCTGACACTTCCTTTTTCATTCTCTATCTTTTTTTGCCATCATCTAGTTTTCCCCATAGCACTTATCACCACTTGATGCCATATATTTATTTGTGTGTTGCCTGCTTTTACCCTGAGAATATGAAGTCTTGGAGACCGAGGCTTTGCTTATTTCCTGTAGTACCTCCAGCTCCTAGGTAGTGCCTGGAACACAATAGCCTTTAATAAACACTTGTTAAATAAATATATTTTCCAGGAAAAGGCATTGTTGTGTAATGCTTACTCACAGCAATATGATGACTTGTTTTATTGTTAAAGTCAATGAAAGCAAATGGGAATATCATTTGAAATTGTGTGCATTAAGATGACAGATCTGATGATAAATTTTATTATAAATATGTTCATACCTGCCCACCACAACATACCCTGACCTGTAATGGCAAAGGAATAGAAAGAAGTGGGACTGTGAGCATTTACTAGGCAGGCCCTGTGCAGTTCTGGTAGCAGTGTGCCGGGAGCCGGTCCATGCTTGCTGTTTCAAGGGACCTGGCATATATAGCATACTGTTCTTAAAATGTTTGCTCACCTTCTTGGCACTATGTGTTTTAACCAAGGTCGTCTCTCTGAGAAAGGTTGTTTCCCCAGGTAGGGATTTTTTCCCTGAAGTCAGGGAGGGGATAAAACTCCTTAACTAAGTGCCAGGTGGGTAGTTAATCACTTTAACTACAAACAATCATGCTTAAGCTACATAATCTTTACTCCCTGGAATGGAGATAAGAAACGCCCTAACCTTTGTAATAGAGATTGATAGGATTGAATCAACTGGTATAAATACAGATGTAACAAGACAGCAAGACACAGAACTTAGAACACAGAACTTAGAATACGGAACCAAGAGAGACAGAACCTAGGCACAGGACCTACACAGAACGTTCTCTAGAGACAGAAGAACTTCGCTGGAGAGAGCATGGCAGGGGTTCCTGGACAGAAACTGGCCTCAGAACCTAGAGACAGAACCTAGCGAGAGAACATGGCAAAAGATCCTGGACTGAACCTGACTACAGAAATTGGCAAGAGAACCTGACTAGAACCTGGTAACTGAACCTGGCTGGAGAACCTGGGCAGAACCTGACTGGAAAACCTAGCGAGGGAACATGGCTATAGAACCTGGCTGGAGAACCTAGCAAGAGAACATGGACACAGAACCTGGCTGGAGATCTGAAGCAGAACCTCTCTGGAGATCCAGACCAGAACTTGGCTGGAGATCCTGGCTAGAGATCCTGGCTAGGCTGCTGATCAACGGAACGCTGTCTCCGTGTCCCTCCTTCTTCACCGACTCTGTCCACACCTTTGGGGACCCCTGGACCCGCTGGGGTTGGACCCCGGCAGCAGTGCAAGGTATTATCCCCATCTTATGCATGAAGAAATGTAGGCTCAGAGAGATGAAGCATCTTGTTAAAGCTCACGGGGCTACTAAAGATTTCACCAAAGCCTTTAGAACCTCAAATGTGCTTTTCCTTACTTGTACTCTTATCCGCATCTGTGGACTTTGGAAAATGAAATGAGAAGCCAGAAAAAAGTGAATGCTTTAGGTCATCTCAGTGGCCAGCAGCAGCTATCTCCTAGCAACCTCTCCCTTCCCCCACCAAAAAAGTTAATAAGGCTTTTTTTTTCCTGGTGCATTTGGTCATTCCTGCCTCCCCCTCCCCACTCCGTTTTCTGTCACATGTTACTATTGTTAATCATCCTGCATCACTCTTTCAGCTTTTGTCTTGGGAGACTTTTTGTCTCTTGACATGATTTTTACAATAAGCATCTCCTCTATTGTCTATAGATCATTAGCCAAATTTCCCTGTCTTAGCAGTGTTTTGCTGCCGTACCTGCATACTTCCCATGCTGTTGCATTCAAATACTTGCTCCATTTTTCTGTCTCTTGTTTTGGCAGGTGAACGGAAAAAGGATGACTGCAAAGCTGATGGGGACAAACTTGTCTGTGAGCCCTGCTCGGAAGGGAAGGAGTACACAGACAAGGAACATCATTCTCCTACATGCAGAAGATGTGGGATTTGTGATGGAGAGCATGGTACGAGTCTTAAAAAGCCATTGAAAGTGACTAATTGTGATGCTCCATGTAAAATCATTCATAATATACCTATAATTGGAATTTGGGACCTACTCTGGTGCTATGTTGGTATACAGGAAGGGGTAGGATGGGGCTGACTCGGGTAAAGCAGGGTCAGGCACTGAACTAATCGCCGGGCTAGACTCTTATGAGCCGAGTCTGGGCGGTCTCCCAGATGAGGAGACAGACTAAATATGAACCCTATGAACAGGGTTCATTAGCTCCAGTCAAAAGTGCAGAAACTTTTTTTCCTGCCTTGATTTATGCATGTGCAATGGCTCTTGTTCATGGCCAGAGAGCGCTCAGAAACCTTCAAATGCAAGGACAGAAGATCCTGAGAGGTGGGTGGGATGCTTCACCTTTTTTGGGGATCTAGTTTGTCCTCATAATTCCAATTGGACCCCTGGATTTTCATGACTAGTCCAATCTATTTTGAGGGCCCAGATTAAAATGTAACAGAAGTACTCCCAGTTTTGCTTGACATTAAGAAATCTCTGGACATAAGTTTTTCTTGTCTCCATTAGAGCCCTAAAGCAATGTTTCTCAACCCTGGCTGTACATTAGAATCACACAGGGAGCTATGAGACATGCCAATGTTTAGGTCCCACCTTAGACCAATTAAATCAGAATCTCTAATCTCTAAGGGCGGGCTTTGGCATTGGTCTGCTTGCCCAGGTCGGGGTGAGGCTTGACAATTTGCATTTCCAACAAGCTACCAGGTGATGCTGAGGCTGTTGGTCCACAAGCCACACTTTGAGTAGCCAGGCTTTAGACTAGAAGAACAGGGGAGCTATTTAAGCAAAGGTAGGGTTTTCTTGGTTGCTGGATTGTCTATCCATTTAACACTCTGCTAAATGATTTCAACCTGGGGTTGCCTGTTTTGTATGTAAACACTAGTTGTATTCCTAAAGTCATGATGGTGTGACTGCTCATATAAGCAGCAGATCTCAAAAATCTATGCTGCCTCTGCCCATCATTTCCATAGCCAGTGTATAAGTAGCTGCTATGACTAACGGTCTACAAATTGAATTTCTAGGCTTAGAAGTGGAAAAAAAATGTACCAAGACCCAGAATACCAAGTGCAGATGTAAATCAAACTATTTTTGTAACACTCCTCCATGTGAACACTGCAACCCTTGCAGCACGTAAGTTTTGGTCTTTTACTGATTAAAACACTAGATATACCTTGAGAGATAAGGTATCCTAGGGGGAAGCAGCACTGGGTTCTAGTCTTGCTTTGCCTCCAAACAACTGGATAACCATTTGTTTATTCAGGCATCCAGGGCCAGAACATGTATTGAACCTCCTGTGGGCTGGCCAGTTCTAGCCACCTAAACTAACCATATGAGCAAGACACATTTCTGGCATCGAAGCTCTCAGGCTAGAGGCAAGGACATTTAAAAAAGGCGTGAACTTTTCAACCTTGCTGGGGGAGATGCAGTGAAGATATGACACATGGCTTGAGTTTTGAAGGAAGGTGAGCATGGATCTGAAGGACATTTCAAGCAGGGAACCAGCAGGTGCAAAGAGACAGGGGAAGCTCCAGAGAACAGGGCACCTGGCTGGAGTGTAGGAAAGACTGCAAAGGAGCCAGGGCCAGGTCAGGAAGGGTCTTGTCTTTCATGCTGAAGAGCTTGGTTTTGACCCACAGTTAGAAAACCTGACTGTGCATGTCACTTTCCCCCCCCCTCCTCCCCTTCCTCCTCCTCCTCCTCCTCCTCCTCCTCCTCCTCCTCCTCCTCCTCCTCCTCCTCCTCCCCCTCCTCCTCCTCCCCTCCTCCTCCCCCTCCTCCTCCTCCTCCTCCTCCTCCTCCTCATCCTCATCCTCCTCTTCCTCTTCCTCCTCCTTCTGTTAATCCCTACCCGAGGATATTTTTCCATTGATTTTTAAGGAGAGTGGAAGAGGGAGGAAAGGACAGAGAGGAATACTGATGTGAGAGAAACACATCAATTGGTTGCCTCCTGCATGTGCCCCGACCAGGGTCTGGGCTGAGGAGGAACCTGCAACCAAGGTACGTGCTCTTGACCGGAATGGAACCCGGGACCTTTTGGTCCACAGGCCAACGCTCCACTGAGCGAAACTGGCAAGGGCTAACCTTTTCTTCTGATTAACAGAGTAAGTTTAAGCAGACCACTCAACCTCTCCGAGCCTCAGTTTCCTCACACATTAAGATGCCGACAGTCATCACTTGTCGTATGGGTCACATATTTGTGAACATCAGATTGGGTAATATGTATTATAAAAATAGCTTTTACTTTGTAAGACACTGTTCTGCATACACATAAATATAATTAAGATTATATCCATGTACCGCTCCTTAAACTTGTAATCATCTTAGGAGTCACTTAGGAGTTCACCTAGTAGGCTTGAAAAGTAGGAACATTATACTTGATGTCTCTTATTTACTAGAAAAAATGTAAGGTATGTGCACTTAACCTAGCCTCTCCTTTCTAGCCCCAAGTATCGGAGACAGCTCTCATGATGACAGAAGTAGGGATTGGAGTTGGAGGGAGGGACTAATGTAAGTCAAATGATAACAACAATAGCAGTTCTAAATACTTCATAATCTTGATTTAATTTTCTTCTCACCATAACCTAAAAAGCAGGTAATACTGTCTCCTTGTTTTGGGTGAGAAAACAGGCTTGCGGTGGTTAAGTAACTTGCTCAAACTCACTGAGTTAGGTAATGGACAGAGCCCAGCTTTAATTCAGACTGGGTCAGTGTTTGTCTGAAAAAAAATATGGAAACCTCTTGAGTATCCTAATGGCCACTTGGTGTTAAACAGCGAGCCCTCTAAGGCCCAGCGGAGTAGGCTACCTCAGGAGCGTCATGGGTAGTGGCTGTTGTCTGGCCATTTTTATTGTTCGATGGGACTGCTTTGAAATTGCTTTTGGTAGTTTATCATTGTCTCCTAATCTTTTAAGAGCACAGCTTATGACCAATTTTAAGTTTATGTCAGGATCTATTTCATTCTTTTTCTTTTCTGCCAATGCTTTGTTACCTTCTTTTAACTCTGGGTATTTTAAAACATAGTCATTCTTTGTTCATCCAAACATCTAAATTATGTTACAGATTTTTACCAGCTCTACCATGCTAATCTCGAAATAGTTGAGGGAATATGTCTGCCAGAGATGCAAAAATGACTACAATGACCCGAGATGTATAGTGTGTCGTTGAAAATGATCAAGGAATTAGCCCACCGGGCTTTTTGCATTTGCTCTGTATTTTTTTTTTTTTAGGTGTGAACATGGAATCATTGAGGATTGCACACCAACCAATGACACCAGATGTAAAGCAGGTTATTACTTTTTTTAATGAGTAGACTCTCCTTCCTCCTATTCTCACAGTAAAATATGAAGAAAAGCCAATCCCTTTTGATTCTTTGAGAGTACCTTGTTTAATCTTAAAGACTGCTCATTTTCATGTAAAATGTCCCATGTTCCAATCTACAGGATCCACATCTCACTTACACTTGCTGTGGCTCCTGATCCTGGTTCCAATAGCAGCTGCATTCATATTGTGGCGTAAGTTCTTACTTTGTTCAAGTTGCACATTGAAATAACTTGGAAAGGACTTGTTCAAAGAATTCCCCTCTGTCTCCAACCTATTAAAAAGCTTCCACCGGGTAGGTAGCTAGCCTTGGTATATTTTTAATTCCGGCCACCAAATGCACACATGAACACTGAAAGAATAGATTATATTAATATTATCCCTCAGCTACAGTTTTTGACCAACCATTTTGGAGCACTGAGTGGCTATTCCCATCCTCACTGTGTTTTCATCCTGGCAGCAGCCAAGTTTGCCAAGAATCAAAAGTAATCTTTCACCATCCATTGAGATGGTCCCGTGCATTAAGATAACACATTAAGAAGCAAGGGCCTTGCTGGGAAAGGCATTGCAGGAGACACTTGGTAAATTTGTCCCTCTCTGCACCTCCTCACCCTTGCTCAAACTCCATGATTTTATTATTTATCCACCATAAATTAAAATATTGTGCAATGCATTTTATGCAAGGGAATAAAATCAGCAGATAAGCCAAATAAGCCCAAATTGAGGGTAATCATAATTACACAAGAAAAAAATCCCTTTTAATCATTTCTAAAACACAGGGTGATGCAACTTTCAATCACTCTGAAGCATCCAATTGGAATAGGCTCTGTTTCTTCATTTTAGCTGAAGATAAAGAGGTTGCTCAGCTAAAAATACATACAGTATTCTATGTTTAAATACCATAACCATGCTTGCAGACTTACACATTCCTTTCTCCCATCTCATACTGACTTCAAGGCAGATATTCATTGAGTGTGTATACTTGAGTTATTTGTGAGTGCATGTACCTGAATTTCTGGGCATTAAATGCCACTCCACGGCAAGCTGATGTGAGCTTTCCTTATCCTGTGCTTATATGCCCTGCTGTAGCCATGACATGTAGCTCCAGGTTGGTGAGAGGAAATAGTGATGTCATTCAATAAGTCAAAAGCCAGCTTTAGGCTAGGCCACTGTGAGGTAATTGGATGTCTCAATTAAGGTGTGGCATATTGCCCGCAGGCATGGCTCAGTGGTTAAACCTCAACCTATAAACCAGGAGGTCATGGTTGATTTCCAGTCAGCGCACATGCCTGGGTTGTGGGCTCTATCTGCAATGAGGGGAGTGCAGGAGGCAGCTGATCGATGATTCTCTCTCTCTCTCTCTCTCTCTCTCTCTCTCTCTCTCTCTCTCCCTTCCTCTCTGAAATCAATAAAAATATTTATTTTAAAATATGTGGCATATCTCCAGAACACTTGACCTGGTGGGGTGAGATTGTCCAAAATCAGGACAATTCTGTATTTTAGGGTCACTTTACATTTCAATGAATTTCTGCTTTTTTCTCACACTTCTCTAGTGTAACAGTAGTATTTCCCCCAAGGCTGAGACCTGAGTCTGATAGAAATTTCTTTCATCTTTTAGGGGTGAAAAGACGGCGCCGGAATAATAATCTTCCTCTCTCTGAACCTACATCTCCAGATACTGTAAGTGTTGAAACATGCATCAGCTTTCTTAAAAACATAGAGAGGGTAGTAATTCAACTTTTTATTTGTTACTTTTTTAAAACAAGCATTTATTGTGTCTGTGTGTGCATGAGTTAGAAGGCATCAAAAAGTAATTCAGATATGAGGCACAGTATATAAGTAAGCTCCGTACAACTTAAGAGTTAACACAGTACTTAAGTGGGAGGCTGCTCAAGGTGAGTTGGAAAAAGGATGTGGCCAAGCAACATGTCCCACATCGGTGTTATTCGTGCAGAGAAACTACAGACATCCTTTACCAGAGCATGGATTCAGTATCTAAGCCTGAACAGACACAGCTCTTACAGCCCACTATAAATAGGGCACAGCTCAACTTTCTCCAGCCTCTCGTTACCATAGCCCCCGCTATATTTCTTTTCCAACATGGAATCAAAGCATTTCATAGCAAAAGTTACGCAGGGAAGATAAACCAGTTCACTTCATGAATAATGCTTTTTCTCATTTAGGGCTCGGACTCAGTGGAAGTTAGGGTTTTTAAAATCAATATAGTACAAAATAATTTCAATTTAAACCATTTTCTTGTGTCAAAAGGAAGAATAGTTACCGTCAAAAGAGTTTTTGAATGATTATGTTTATTATATTTGTTTTCGTGAGTCTATATGAAACATAACCTCAGAACATTCCATGAATTCCCTAGATTCCTTGAATGTGTAAAACATAAGCTAATGTTCTTTAATTTCTGGAAATGCTGGAACCTTTCAGAATAAAAATTTGAATGATGAAAGAATCCTTAATCACTTCGTCTAGCTAATTTTATATATCAAGCAACTGATTGTACTTCCTTCAGTATTAAGGAAAATTTTAAAGATTACATTTAGACTATTCTGAGTGTATTTTTATTTTTTTTTTTTCTCTTTCTGTCCATGTGTTGTTGTTTTTTTCTGTCCAGGAAATGCTCCCAGTGATTTCTTCAGGTAAGGATTTTATCATTTTATTTCATAGAACTGGCTTCCGTAGGAGTAGCAGGCCAATTTTAGAGTAAGATAATGTTGCTAATTTCAGTGACATATTGTGGGGCCTCGCTATTCCTTGAACTTATAGTTCTTCCCATTCACCATCCAGGGTTTTTTAGGCAGTTTGTTTAAATTTATAACTAATATTCCTAGTTTAAAAATAAATGAGGTAGCAATGAAACACTATATTCTGAGGCTTTGGAAAATTTTCCTTTACAAACATTTAGATGTATTATAGAACTTCTGCCTAAATTGACTTAGAGGTAATCTGAATTGTAGACTCAGTTATTATTGGTGTGTACCAGCTCTGTAACAACAAATTATTATTCTATTCAGTTCTCTTTTTTGAGCTGTGATTCAGAGATAAGATGATCATAAACCCTTTGCCTATGTATTAGGTTTGTAGGTCATTGAACATCAGACCTATAAGGGACCTTAGGGGTGATCTTTTCCAACCTGTTGATAGATGAGAAAAGAAGACATAGAGATGTTATGTATCTTGTTCAGGTCATAGAGCAAATTACTGGGGATATAGGATGTCTTGGGATTAGAAGGCAAGGTTATTTCTGTTTTTGCGTTTCCCTATCAGCTCCTTAGATCTCTAGGACTAACCTGTATTCTTAAGTACTATAAGAGGAGAAATAAATGGCTTCCAATCATGGCAATTTTGTTTACCAGAACCAATTTTCAGAGACTATTCTCTTTTTTTTTCAGACATTGACTTGACTGATTACATTAGCACTATTGCTGAGCTAATGACAATAAGTGAAGTTAGAGATTTTGTTCGGAAGAATGGTCTCAAAGAAGCCAAAATAGATGAAATCAAGAATGACAATCTCCAAAATACAGCTGAACAGAAGGTCCAGCTGCTCCGTAATTGGTATCAAGTTCACGGGAAGAAAGACGCATTTACCACTTTGATTACAGGTCTCAAAAAAATCAAACTTTGTGCTCACGCAGATAAAATTCAAGATATAGTCCTCAATGACATTACTAGTAAACGTGAAAATACTAACATCACAAATGAAAATGAAAGCCAAAGGTTGGTCTAAAGTGAAAAACAACTAACTCAGTTTTGAGTACAGACATTAGATAGAAAAATTAGGTAAGTTAGGTGAGGGCTCAAATATTGCTTAACTTTTTACTGAGCATATTTTCCTTTTTACATTTATTATACTTGCAGGGCTACATATTTATGTGTTTCAAGGACCTCATGATTCTGTCTTCAAGACTATTTAAAATCTAGACATGCCTGATTAAGAATAAATGCAGTGGCATGCTAAGTATGCACATAGGTGTGTTTGCAAAGACAAAACATTGGGGTCACGTTCTAGTATCTAATACTTTATTAGATTAAAAAAATTAAAGTTAAAATCATTTTTTGGTATTTCTGGTTATCCTTTTTTGTTAAGACCTTGGTTTTTTGTTTGTTTGTTTGTTTCCATTTCTCTAACCATGGCTAACTGTAACCTGTTCAGGAATCTTCAATGCTTTCTTTCATCTCCCAGGGAGTATTTACCTTTTAAACTCCTAATAATTTCCTTCATAGGCCATTACTGCCAAAAAAAACCTTCCTCAAAACCACATTATTATTTATTATGTGAGGATTTATTATGACAGCATTATGTGTAAGGCACTGGAAATGTGGATAAGAAAGTAAATATTTCAAAAGGTAGATTTTATTCATAGGTATGATTCTGTAGATGTGAATATAATTACTGTATAAGAATACAAAGGTCTACCTACAGGCTGACCCCATCCATCAACAGAAGCTATGACCTCTTGATGCAGTGTCATAATCACTGGAAAAAGCAACTTTGCCTCTAACCTTCCCAGTTCCTGGAGGATGATTCTAGAGATTTTGCAATAGTATTTGTCAACTTCGTTTGAAACTCAGCATATTCAGGGAAAGCTTGTGTATACCTCTGAATGCAGAATTTAAATAAGGTTCTACTTCAAAGATGTTTACATAGATTATTGGCATTTCATTGTGAAAGATTTCAATTTTGGATTCACATAGAAAATGCCAACTCAGTTATGCTTGAAATTGTATATTTGTATGCCAGCGTACTGCATCAAAATAATCGGCCACTTTCTCAGGTGCCAAAACAGTTCCATCAGGAAGTATTCCTAGAGCATCATCTTCTCTTCGTTTTTTTTCTTGATGTGTGTCTTGAGAGCCTCTACACTCCCAAACCTGGAAGCACTATCTATGAAACACGATGAGCCACTGTAAGCTATGCTGCTCTTAGAAATGTCTAGCCTGGTTTGGAGAGATTCACTGCTCTCATAAGAGGTAGCTCCGTGGTACTCACGGACCCATGTTGCCCGCCAAAGCTAATGAGGTAGTTTCTTATCTTGCCCTATCCCCCACAAAATGTTCAATGACTCCCCATATATTCTCTTGCTACAAATGCAGCTTATACCCAGGTTTTAGGACTTGTTATTTCCTGCAGCATCTTAGACAAACAAGCCCCTCTCCCCACTGCCACTTCCTCACTTCTACATTTAGACACTTTAAAAAATGTAAGTTAATGTGAATTTTAATAAATAGTATTTATATTTGTATAGATGTAAACTGAAGATAATTATAAACTGAAACAGAGGTCTCAAAATACCTAAACAGCTTCCACTGAAGGAAAATTTTCCCCCTGATGTTTGGAAATGTAAAATGTAGGTAAAAATGTTTAATTAAAATCATTTTTTGGTATTTCTGGTTATCCTTTTTTGTTAAGACCTTGTTTTGTTTGTATATTTGTTTCCATTTCTCTAACCACGGCTAACTGTAACCTGTTCAGGAGTCTTCAATGCTTTCTTTCATCTCTCAGGGAGTATTTACCTTTTAAACTCCTTATAATTTCCTCCATAGGCCATTACTGCCAAAAAAAACCTTCCCCAAAACCACATTATTATTTATTATGTGATGATTTATTTTGACAGCATTATATGTAAGGCACTGGAAATGTGGATAAGAAAGTAAATATTTCAAAAGGTAGGTTTTATTCATAAGAAAGCTCAATAGGGATTTTGAAATATTCTTTTCTGCATACTTTCCATTGTGGTTACTTGGTGACCACTAGACCATCTCTCTTTTTAAAATTTTAATTTTAATAATATATTTTATTTAACCCATTATGCCCAAAGTATTATCATTTCAACATGTAATCAGTATAAAACCATTAATGAGATAGTTTGCATTCTTTTTTTTTTATACTAAAGTCTTCAACATCTAGATTGTATTTTATTTATACTCACAAGCACATCTCAGTTTAGCCACATTTCAAAGGTTCAATAGCCTCATGTGGCTGGTGGCCAGCACATTAGATGGTTCAGGTCTGTATCTTTGTCTGGACAGGTTCAGCAGCCTTGCCTCTGTGCTGGCCTGTCAGGCCTGCCCCTTCCTAGGCCTGTTCGATGAGGTCTCTTCACTCTGGTTGGTGGGAAAGTCAATACCTCTCACCGACAGTGCCTTACGGTTCTTTGCCTGGCTCTTGGTGTCCTCCCTGTGCATGTGCACAGGGTATTCAGTAAAAGGCTCCAGGGAACCCCTGTACAGATTCCTGGAGCTCTTGCTCTGCATAGCGTCCTCCTTTTTCAGCTCTCGGTTTCTGTAAAGTCTGGCAGCCTCTGTCTCCTGAACTCAAACCTCTGTGCCTCCACTCAACAAGGTGACAGTGCCCTGCTTAGGGTCCCCTCCTGGGCCAGGGTCTGGAAAGTGCTTCTGGGCAGAAAGTCTGAGTGGTCATCGGGCTCTCCTCGTTAGGCTTTCTTCTCTGGAGGGTCACAGTCTGTGCTACCTGCTGTCCTGTTTTCTAGCGGTAGACAGCGCGGGGCAAGTCTGGCACTGGTTATTCTTCATGGTCAGAAGCAGAAGTCCTACTTTGCAAGGTGAAGTCGAGTTAGAGAACATGATGTGCTCACTGTGAGTCCCAGCGAAGAACTTGGGGTTCCTTTGGGAGGAGGGCAGAAGTTGGGGAGGTCCTTGGCCTCGATGGTATGGCTCCTTCCCTCATTGTGTCACCTGAGTGGGACTGCTCCCATGTCCACAGTCATAGCCATGTTCTCGAGTTTGAGGTTCTTAACTGGCCTTCTATGTTTTTACTCTTGCCCCTCCAATCCGTACTCCAAACAGCAGCCTCCATGATCTTTCCAAATGGCAAACTTCATGGTGTTGCTTCTCTGCTTAAAATCCTCTGGTTTCCCGTTGATCTTAGAATAGAGTCTACACTCGGTTTAAGAGGCCCTATGAGCCCTGGGCTTATGTACCCTTCTAGCATCTTCTCTCAACACTTTCCCCTCTCCCACTCTAAAGCCAGGTCAAATTACTCTTTGTTCCTCAACACTGCTATCCTGTTCGTCCTTGCCTCTGAGTTTTTGCTTTCTTGCTTCTTCCCCCATTTTGTCTTGTTACTTTCCAATTTATCAGGTCTCAGCTTTAATGCCATTTCCAATGGAATGCCACCCTGGTGTCTGAACCATGTACCTCCAATGTGGTCACATATTATGCCGTTTTGTATATAGTTGTTTGTCTCTCCCTTGCTAGGCCATAAGCCACCCGAGGGCAGAAGTCATGATTCACAGAATCGATGCTCATTCAATCAGTATTGCTTGAATGAGCCAGTTAATTAAAAGTGTATGCACTCGTCTTTTTTTTTTTTTATTGCTTAAAGTAATACAAAGGGTATTATATATGTGTCCATTTTCCCCCCCGCCCTAGACAGTCCCCTAGCTTCCCCTATCCCCCAGTGTCTTATGTCCATTGGTTATGCTTATATGCATGCATACAAGTCCTTTGGTTGATCTCTTACCCCCCTACCTCCTGTCCCCCAGCCCTCCCTGGCCTTCCCGCTGCAGTTTGACAATCTGTTTGAGGCAGTTCTGCCTCTGTATCTATTATTGTTCAAAAGTTTATAATGGTCTCTATTATCCATGAATGTGCACTCGTCTTTTGTGTTGGTTTGTGACTGCCTTTTGGTAGGAAAGTTAATAGTGAGCGACTGATCACTCATTATATGGGGAGCTTCATCTTTTTCATGAACAATGATCATGTCATTAAATTTATCACATATATCCAAGGCCTTTCAAGATGTTCGTTTCCTCTCCCTCTGTAGTATTCCAGCCTCTTTTCCCACTGCTTCCTCAATGCACCACACTCCTTGTTTCTCACACCATTATTCTGAGTCCAGATCTTGTCCTTGACTACTTGCATCCTGTACTTCCCCACCCCAAATTCCACTAAATTCCACTGGCTCCCTCAAGAAGCCATTACCTACTCTCTGAAAGCCTCGGGTCTCTTTTGAAGTTATTTGTGACTATCTTCAGGACCTCCCCTGGAATCATTTCAATAAGCACTCTGTATTATTTGATTTTATTTGGTGTGAGTGTGTGTGCGCGCGTGTGAGTGCACGTACGCGTGAGCATGTAGTCCCCTTATATACTCTGTAAGGCCTTTCAAGTGATTAAAAGGGCTGGCTCCAAAAATAGTACATTTGGAGATTTGGGACCTTGCTGCCTTGCAGAAATCACTTAACCTCTCTAGGCCTCAGTTTCCTCACTTCTAGAAGAAGGATAATAATAGAAGCTGCTATGTAGAGCTGCTCTGGGGTTAAAGGAGATATCCACCTACAGCACATGGAGTGGTGTTGAATATAGCTTTCCTATGATTACACTCATCTCCAGCATCCCATGGGCCCATGAGTGATATTGACAAGTCATCCATGAAATTGGATGCTTGAAAAGACCATACAAAGAGCTGATGATGTTTGGATATACATCAGCTTTTTATATAAAGCTCTGGCTTTAGAAATAAACAAACTTGATTTCTTAACAGAAACTTTGCAGGCCAGAAAGTAGTGGCAAGGAATATTCAAAGTGATAAAAAGCAAGGACCTGCAACCAAGGTTATTCTACCCAGCAAAGCTATCATTTAGAATTGAAGGTCAGATAAAGGGCTCCATAGATAAGAAAAAGCAAAAGGAGTTCATCACCACCAAACCAGTATTATATGAAATGCTGAAGGGGTTCATTACCACCAAATCAGTATTACAAGAAATGTTAAAGGGTCTTCTTGAAAAGAAGAAAGAGGAGGAGGAGGAGGGAGGCAATATGAACAATAAAATAGAAATAAATACTTATTTATCAACAATTGAATCTAAATATCAAAATAACGAACAAGGAATCTAATGAACAAAATAAACTAAATAATGAACAAAATAAAACCAGAGGCATGGGAACATGGAACAGACTGATGAATCTCAGAGGGAAGTGGGAAGGGGAGTGGGTACCCAAAGAACTTATATGCATATACCCAAGGATACAGACAATGGGGCAGACAGGATCCCGGTGGAGGAAGGCAATGGGGGGAGGAAGGGGGAACATCTGTAATGCTTTCAATAGTAAGTATATAAAAGAAAACATGATAAAGTGGCACCATGATGCATTAAGTGTACATTTGATAATACTTTTATAAAAATACGCCCCCCCTCCCAAAGAAATAAACATGATTCTGCAGTAGAATGCAGGAAATGGCCACAAGAGGGCAGTCAAACACTATGACGGATGACATGGTACCAAGTGAAAGGTTAAGACTGCTCTCATTTCATGCTTTCCTTTCATTCTCTTCTCAATGAAGATGCTATGGTAAAAGGAATGAGATTGTTTCCACACTAGTCAATGCCGGCCAAAAAGATAACAAGAACATTTTGAAGAAAGAAGGGCCATCAGTTCTGTGCACTGACGTGAGAGTAGCCAGAAAGTGTTTCTTTTCTGGGTGGCAACCTCCCACCACCTGTCACAAATCCCGCTGTCTGAAGATTATGGATTGCAAGGATTTAGATTTGTCTTCTAAACCTGGCACTCAAAGCCCTCTCTCAGTGGGCTCCCAGTCAAACACATCTCATTTGAAAGTCTCCCCAATGATTCTAACAAATGGTCCAGCCACCAGATTTAATGATTGCTTGTGCTCTGCACCTTTTCTTGGATTACTTTTGACCTGGAATTCTCTTCTCCTTGTCAACAAAGGTCAAATGCCAACCTCTTTCCAGGCTTAGCTGAAGGCCACCTCTTGTACTAGTATGAAGCCTTCTCTAGTACCTCAGGCCAAAGACACTTTTCTTACTCTAGCATTTGTGGAGTGTATCAGGCACCCGTTTGTGTAAAGTGGTACCCAATACCCGTTTGTGTAGCAGGGTTCATGTGCCCCCTCCACTTGTGTAGTGTGGATTAGAGATGAGCGTGTTTGTGTGAACTAGCACAGTGCCTGGTTCACACAAACATGGAACCTGTTACTGTGTCATAATTATCACTCTCATTGCAATTAGTTATATATGAAGCTTATTGCCCTAAAAGCAGAGGGAAGGAGGTATGTTGGACTCATCTTGCATGTGTAAGCATTCATGAAAAGTTTGCTACATGAATGACCACAAAAACTAGTGAGCTAGTCAATTCCTAACTCATTCCTGAAACAACATTGGGAGCATATGACTCCCTGTGTTTTTGTAGTTGTGATTCTCAAGTACAACCCAGCAAATACACTAATTGTTTTCCCCCCCTAATGAAGCCAATGCATAGTCATTTAGAAAATTCAAACAATACAGAAAGGTTTAAGGAATAAAGTGTCAGTTAAACCAGTCTCACAGAACAGAGGTAACCACACTCATGAATTTCTAGGTACACACACACACACACACACACACACACACACAGTTAAATAAAAGTGATCACACCAAATATGCTTATAATCTGCTTTTTACTCAACAATGGGTTACAGGTGCTTTTCCATATTAATAAACAAACAGATAATTCCTTTTAAATATTATTTTACAATATAATATCCTATTTGGATGGATAGTATTCCACTATTCTGAGCTATCATGCTTTATTAAAATACAAATGTTATCATTTATTTTGCTAAAATATAAATGTTACATAGGAATGTGAAGACATTTAACCACTATGGCCATTGATACTTCAGTTTTTGTTTAACCTTAAACTGAAGACTTGGTGGGGAAGTTCAAGGAAGCAATGGCCCAGAACCTGGGCACTGCCAGGGTGCGGGCCCAGGTAAGCATGGTGCCTAGAGGTGGCTGAGGAATGGGGCGACCCTGGACTAGGACTAAAGGAGAACAGGTTTCTAAGTAGACACATTCAGGTCAGCCCTGCCTGACGTTTCGGGCCTCTCTCACTCTCACTCTCAACCCCCAATACAAGACATAGCCAAGTTCAAAGCTGCCAAACCTGGAGCTGCTCGGAGCAGGAGATTGTTTCCTTATTACTCAACGCGGGTCAATAAGTTAATGAGGAAGTTACAAGAAGGAAAAGAAAATATAGAGAGGGAGGCACTAACTTGATTGAGTGCGTACTATGAATCATGCTGTATGCTTATGAGGTATAGCATTTGACAAAATTCCACATCTATTCCTGATGAAATTTTCACCTGGCAAGGATGTCTGGGAAAAACCCATGACTGAAATAACACTTAATGGGAAACATTTAAGTGTAGGTTATCTGGTGACTCCTTCCAATGGCCCTGCTACCCCCTTTTCCAGATGAAGGAGATCAGGGTTGATAAGGTTGATAAACTCATTCGAAGTCACACAAGCAATGAGAGCCAGAATGTTGTAAGAAATTACCAGGCTGCTGTCAAGCAGAATTGTCGTCTCTCAAGGTCTTGCAAGGACTCTCAAATCGTGTCTAACCTCTCCTGACCTTGACATTTGGATTTAGTAAACAGGGTTCAGCAGCAACTTTGAGATATTTGGCAGCAATCTCACAAAGACAGTTTGGGAGATAATGATTTGAGGAGACTTAACGGTGATATTATTGGACCAGGATTAACCTCAATTATATGTTCATTCATTTATTGTTCATTCAATAAATGCTTATTGCTCATCTACTCGGTGCCAGGCACTGTGCTAGGCCGTGGCCTACAAACACTTACCTCCTGGAGGCTTCAATCTAGATGCAGACATCAATGGGATAGTGACACAGGCAAGTGCTACATGACAACTTAGACAGATGCCATTAGAAGAAAAAGTTAAAGGGGTAGCAGAATAGGAGGCTTTGACCTAGTATGTGAGGTCAGAAAAACAACTGATGATTTGAAATCTGAAGGAAGGAATAGCGTGCTAAAGGCTCCAGTGACAAGAGTGGGCAAGAGGAGTGGAGAGATTGAAAAAAGAGCAGTTGTAGAGCAGGGGGACCAAGAAAGGCCTGGAGCTGGGGGATGGGCAGAGGGGTTGCTGACCATGGTTCTAACATGCAGCAGCTGGGGAAGTGCGCCTTATGAGACAGGGGATGCACTTGTGGGGGTTTCTAAAACTGAGGGCTCAGCTGTAACTGACAATTTGCATGGATGCCTGGGGTGGCTTAAGCAGATTTTTGGTTTTCTGGGAGGCTGATTGTTTCATATCTACCTGATCCGATAACACTAGCTGTCTGGGGGCTATCCAGATAGTTCTGTGGCCTGTATAATGTAGCTGCCCCGTGACAGCCCTGTGATGATTTCCATAGGAGTTTGCAGAGGTCAGGATGCTGGAGTTAAGGGAGGAGAAGAGTACGGGGTGAGGGTGCTACTCCCCAACGCTGAGATCACACTTTGGTTTCGTCAGGAAAATTTTGTGACCATAGCCAAAAAAAATAAAGTTAAAAAATAAAAAGACTAAGGATCTAGAGATCTAGAATAGATTGGCTCCAGAAATGATTTCAGCAGGTCCTTTGGGTCTGCTGGCTATTTTATGGCACTAAGGATCTTGTGGTCTGGTCCCTGACCTAGGTGAGTAAATTAACGTCAGCTCGGAAAAAATCTCAGCTACAAAACTGAAGTCCAAAGCTAAAGGGCCAGTCACCCGCACCAGTGGAGAGTGAGGATGGCTCAACACAAATCCATTCACGAGAGAGGCACCAAGGTGAGGCAAGCGGAAATGGGCCCTTGTTCAGGAACAAGGCTACACTTTGCTTTCAGGGGGCCACAAGGTGGCAGTGTTTCTCCTGCTTGTGTTAAACTTGTCCCCATGGCACTATATCCCTGTCAAATATATTCACATTTTGATTCTTTTCCTTTTCTTTTCTTTTCTTTTTCCCTAGCAGAGGAGCAGCACAGAGTGGGGTAGGTCAAGGATTGGATCTAGAATCATGCAAATCCTGGTTCAAATTCTAGCTCCGCTGCAATTTTGAACTGTATGGCCTTGGATTTCATATCTCTTAAGTTTGGTTTCCCCTATAAACAATGAAGACACATGTCACCTGCCCCTTCTTAAAATTGTGAAGAACAAGAAAAAAATACCAGTGCCAGTGTAATAGATTATAATGCATCATGGCATTGGTCCTTAACCGCTACTGTGTGCAAGGCTCGCCCGAGGACATTTTAAAAATGCATATCCCCAGGTCCTGCACCTTGGGATGTTTCAGGAAGTCTAGCACTATGTATGCCTTGGACTCTACATGTAACCAAGCACTCTTGATGACTGTCTTGCTGAAGGCCCTTGGATCACAGTTCAAGAGCAAATGCATGCCCCTGGAAGGAGAGAGGTTAAAGCACAGAAGTGATTCTTAGCTTCCCCTATATTGGAATTTATCATATTCTCTTTTGAATAAAAATTTTACAAAGTTTCCACTACTCTTTTTTTTTCATTAGAGATAGAGTGGAGGGGATGGAGGGAGAAGTAGGAGAGAGAGAGAGAGAGAGAGAGAGAGAGAGAGAGAGAGAGAGAGAGAGAGAGAGAGAGAGAGAGATGAGAGAGACACATTGCTTGATTGCCTCCTGCACTCACTCATCTGGGCTGAGGAACGAATCTACAACCTAAGTATGTGCCCTTGACCAGGAATCAAACCCACGGCCCTTTGGTGCACTGACTGATGCCCAGCCACTCAGCCACACTGGCCAGGGCTCCATTACTCTTAATTAATTAAGAGGACAGAAATCTGTATTCTGGTCACCCTCTTCGTTCACATCAAGTACTTGGAAATATTTCTTGGGTGACAGCCAGAGCCGGGACAGTCTGCAGAGCATTTCCAGACGTTTCACCTCATTTATGGGTACGTTTGGGCAATAGGACTTGGCAGACTCGACAGAATTGTTCTGAGGTTTGCCTTTGTACCTCAATGAGCTCATTTTTTCTACCAAATAAGTGACCTCGTGCCTTCTGGCAATGACTGAGTCACGGGCTTCGGCCTGCTAAGACAGGTGGCTGTGCAGGGTTAGCAAGGAAAGTGCATGAACCCTCAGGAGCTCTCTGTCATTATGGCTTTCGCAGACCACCAGGAGTTTTTGACCAGCACTGGCAGGGTTTTTACAATTTCTAAGCAAAGATTCAGCCCCCCTACTTCTCAGAGGATGCTTCCCGACCGGGCTGTTTTGCCAGCAGAGAAAGTCCGATTCAAAGAGTCAATATAGCAGCAGAGATACCCAGTCCGGCCCCTTCGTCTCATGGCCCGGGTACAGAGGCTGGCGGTGATAACCCCAGCACCTGGACGTGGGAGTTCTGCTCTCGTCTTAGGTAACAGCAGACAGTGCTCTTAGCAAAGCTTTCAGAAACGGCTGCAGAAACTTGCTTCGCTTGGACTGTGTTCAAACGTCACACTAATAGAGAAAGGAAGCTGTTTAAAGGGAATTGCAGGATTATCCATCTTTCAGCAAACTTTTATTGAACAACTGCTATTTTTTGAACCAGACACTCTCCTAGGTTTTCTACTGAAATGTTAATAAAACATCCAAAAGCTCCTCTTAATGGAACAGAGAGTCTAGCATCAGGAAACAGACAATAAACAACCAATGGACTTAACCGCTCTTTGGAGGGTCTACAAGGCCATTGGTTGAATTAGCTGAACTCTGGGTCAGTAAGGGATGGGGGGGAGTTCCATGCAGTGCTTTCTACACCCACTCTGCCGAGTCCTTCCTGCGCAGAGCACATCTGCCCGTGGGCTTTCTCTCCATCTGCCAGCCCTGACTTTTCCAGGGACGGACCTACTCGTATGCATCACACCTTACTCATCCTTTCACTGAGAACGGACTTTCTTAAGCGCTTGGGATTTGGAAAGTCCCTTTCTCCCTGCTCCCTGTGTGGTTTGAATGGACACATGATTTACACAAAGTGCACGATTCAGTGGCTTAATAGACTTACAATGTTGCACAATCAGCATCTCTACCTAGTTCCAAACATTTTCATCACTCCCAAAGTCAACCCAGTTTCCATGAGCAGTCACTTCTCCCTCTCCTCTCCCTCCAGCCCCAGGAAACCACCCATCTTCTCCTTGTCTCTGTAGGTGTAACTATTTTAACCCTTTGAGTGCCAACCAGTATCCTAGGAACTATGCTAAAATTGCCAAGGCATTTTTGCTGATTTTACAGCAGTTTAGGAAAAAAAATTATGAATCGCGAGTAAATGAAGTTACATATTCAAAAACTTAAGGAAACCTTTACTACATTTATTTTCATCTTTGACATATATTGTTTGCTGATTGTATTATAAAATACTAGTAGAAAAAAAATAATAAAAGCAGACTTAGAACTGGATGCCATTTCGAAGCTTTAGGGCTACAAAATCTGAGTAAACTTCATAAAATCGTAGTACCTGTAAAAAATTAGGCAGATAAATGCCAGTGGTCAATTTTAGAACTACAAACATTCGGCATCATAAGTAATCTGCACTTAGGTGCCATCTGTCAATAAAGAGTGAACTACTAGCATCTAATATAGTGACACTGCAGGAGGAGCGCGATAGCACTCCCGGCACTTTTGGCGAAAGACAGGAGGAGCGCGATCCTGCTCCCTGGCACTCTAGGGGTTAAATATCTCATCTAAATGGAACCACATCACACGTGGTTTTCTATGCCTGGCTTCTTTCGTGAAAGCGCATTTCTTAGTACTAAGATCATTCAAGTGACGCCGCTGATTTTAATTATTGCACAGGCAGAAAAGGACGTGCCATCAAAGGCTTTTCTGACTTCTTCAGCTCCGGGGGTTGATAGGAGGAACTCTCCGTCTCACATTTTGATGAGCTGTCAACATTTTGCAGAGTGGCCTCACCACTTTACATTTCCAGCAGCAGCGAAGGCCAGTTCCAATTTCTGCATATTCTCCCTAACACTTGTTACTGTCTGTCTTTTTCATTGTAGTCATCCTAAGTGAATGTGACATGGTAGCTCATGGTGGTTTTGATTTGCATCTTCCCAATGACTGACGATGTTGGACATTTTTTTATGTGCTTATGGGCCATTTGTACATCTTCTTCGGAGAAATGTCTATTCAAATTCAGTGCTCATATTTTCATTGACTTATATGTATTTTTATTATTGAACTAGGGGCTGAGGGGGGTGGGGGGCGTGGAGGGATTAGGGCCGCTAGACGGGAGTGACCCGCCGCCTGGACGTCATGGTGGGAGGCTGGTCGTGAACATTCCATGTCCCTCGTGTGGAGCTCAAACTAAGGTCTACTAGTAGGTTTTACAGTCAGACCCTCAAAACGGAGGGGATCTGACCCCAGGTCTCCCACAGGCAGCTGCCAGGGACCCTGCCTTCCCAGGGGCCGAGCGGAGCATGGGGCCTCCTTACCCCTCCACCCCAACATCCTTCCTCACAGTCTGCCTTCCCTCCTGCACACCCCAAAGCCGCCACCTTGGCTGCCACAGTTTCCACCTTCTCCGCATCGCCCTCGGGGAGGGTGCTGTCGCCTGCTGCTGTCTCCCTGCTTCCTCTTCCCCTCAGTCTGCTCCTGACATAGAAGCCAGAAGGTCTGTCCTCACTGCGTCAGGTCAGCCCGGCGGGTCCTCACCTACAGCCCCGGCGCCTCCCCCTGCACTCAGGGGACGCCAGGTTCTCACGGACCCTCGATCCCTGCAGGATGTGCCCCGGACCCAGCCTTGACCCCCTTCCACTCGGACTCTTGCTTGTCTTGCTGCCCCTCCGTGGGCTGTCCCCGATGCCCGATGCCCTTCTCCAGGCGTCCGCCTGGCTCTCCTCCATCCGCCCATTGTCCCTCAGCGAGCCTCCCTTTGCCCCTCCCTCGCAGAGCCCCTACGTGGCTTCATTCCCATGCTTTCATGGTGCCCGTGCCCTTTAAGGGCTGCACCTCATGACTGTCCAGGCTGTTTCCTCCCCGCACCCTGTCCTCTCCTGGTGGAACCCACGCTCTCTGACACAGGGCGGCGGGCTCATTCCCTGGGGCACCACCTGGGACACCGCAGGTGCTCAGTCCGGTTGAGTAAGATGCTCAGGCAGTGGCACCAGGTGTAAAGGCCATTGGAAGGCAGACTCATTAGTTGCCGAGGGCCGGTGAGCTCTCGGCACAGAGTTCGGGGGCGGGCGGTGGGAGCCAGGTATTCGTTCTCCCGCAAGAAGGCGGGTCAAAGAGAATGGAAAAGGAGCAGTGTGTTTCCCTCAACTACTTAAAAGCTGATGATCTCATTCCATTCTCAAAGCTATGAATAGAAACCCTTAGATCAACCCTGTGAGGCAGGTTCTGGGATTATCTGAGATTTGGTGGGGGGTACACAGGCTTTGCCAGCCACAAGCACAGTTCTTAGTAACCACCAGCTTTCAGTGCTGTGATTCGTGCACAGGTGGGGGGTGTGGCTTGTGGGGCTCATCCCAGTCAGCACCCACTGTGGAAGCGCACTGACTACCAGGGGGCAGCTCCTGCACTGAGCATCTGCCCCCTGGTAGTCAGTGTGCATCATAGCGACTGGTCGGCCGGTCATTCTGGTCCTTCTGCCATTTGGTCGCTGGGCTTTTATTATGTAGGATATATCTAGTCCATCCTATATAATAAAAGGCTAATATGCAAATAGACCGAATGGTGGAACAACCGAACAACTGGTCACTATGACATGCACTGACCACCAGGAGGCGCATGCAGAGCATGGTGGGCATGGGCAGCAGGCGGAGAGCATGGAATATGGCGGGCATCGGCCATGGTGGGATGGTGGAGCAGGTAAGTGGGGGTGCCAGACTAAGGCAGGGCACAGCCGCTGTCATTGGGGTGAGCCTTTGGCTGTTAATGAAAATTCTTTGCTCCCATGCACTGTGGTCCTGCCCAGTGCCGGCCCTGCTCGCACCCGCAGCTGGCACTGGAGCCACTGTTTGCACCTACTGCCGGCCCCCGGCTCCAGTCCCAATCACTTGGCGCTGTCAGCAGGTGTGAGTGGTGGCTGCCAGCCCCAATTGCCCCTGAGGCGTTCTCCCCCTCCCCCTTCTTCTGATGGGTGATCAGGGAAGCAGCTGTTGCTCACCCCCACTGATGGCACTGGCCCCATTCGCACCTGGTGTGGGTGCTGGCCCCAATCACTCTGTGCTGTCAGCAGGTGCAAGCGGGGCTGGCGCCATCAGCACATGGGAGCAGCGGCAGTGGGAGCATGGCTGCTGGCAGACAGGGGACTGGGGGCATGGTGGGAGGGTTTGGGTGGGGGCACAGAGGATGGGCCGAGACCTGCCCCTGTGCCCGCCACAGCCTCACAGCCCACAGTTCCTTTCAAGGTGCATGAATTCGTGCACTGGACCCCTAGTAGAAATATAATACAACATTATAGAATA